ATTCTTGGCTCTATGTGATAGATAAAGTAGAATACATTATTTTCTTTAGGAGAAATGACCGAATAGATAGGAACTAATGTTTTCTTGGCTGAGCAACTTAAAGGGAGAGTACAGGGGCGGGTTGGGGGCATGTTATCCTGAAATAGCTCTCAAGGATGTATATACACTCATCTTTACCTTCACAAAAATTTTGGAAGCTTTCCAGTTCTACTTCACCCACATTAATTGAATGTCCTTTATTGTTGTCTTTGTGTAAAAATCCTAGGGATTAATCATGATTGATATGTGATTGATCATGATTGAGATATAATTGATTAAATCTTTCCATAACTTAGGTTGATTGTTACTCTAATTTCTTGTATCCTAAATTAGAAGATTATTTTTTCCTTTTTTATTTTTATTGTTGTACTATAAATAGGATGTAATAGGTGTGTACAATTTAATCAAGGAATAAAGAAAATTCTTATTTCATTCTTCATGGTATCAGAGCCGGTTTTCTCCTAAATCGAGCTAACAATGAAGGATGCCTCCGTCAATAGCCAGAAATCGGTGACTTCGGGAACTCGCATGAGTCGAAACGAGAAACAGTAGGGAGAGAAAAATACTTAGTCCACTCCAAGCATCAGTACCTCAAATTCAAATCAATTGGAAAAGATCATGAAGATGATTGCTACCCTTCAGTCCTCTAGTCAGTTATCAAAAAATATTCCTTCTGGTTCCTCAGTCCGAGGTAATTCCTTGAAAGCCTTAACCACCTCCCGTACTCATACTCCCCAGATTATATACTCAGGAGCATTTGACCATATGATTGATTCTTATCATCTATTTTCAATGTATTCACCATGTGCTGGAAATATGAAAGTAAAAATTGCATATGGATCCCTTTCTCCTGTTGCAGGCAAATGAAGTATCCGTATCTCCGATTCTATCTAGGGATGGCAATGGACTGGCTCGGCCCGTATGCCCACGAGCTTAGCTCGTGCTCGTCATGAGCCGAGCCGAGCTCTTGGCTCGTTTATAATGTTACTCACGGGTCAAGCCTGGGTCGGCTCGCGGCTTGTTAAATTTTTTTTTTAAGATATACATTTTTTCTTAAAAAAAAAAACCCTTCAATTTTGGACGAGCCCACAAGCTGCTCTCGCCCGTGGGCGAGCTGAGTGGGCTCGGCTTGTGCTCATGGCTCGTTTTTTACGAGCCAAGCTGCCGAGTAGACGAGCCGCTCGGCTCGGTTGCCACTACTAATTCTATCACTTTAAACTCAGTCCTTCATGTTCCAAAATTATCTTGTAATTTGTTATCTATAAGTCAGCTGACTAAACACTCCAATTGCTCTGCTCAATTTCTTTCCTCTAATTTTATCTTTCAGGACCTGTCATCGAGAATGATGATTGGTAAGGAGTACTACTTTGAGGAGGCTAAAGTGAGTAACCAGTGTCAAAATGCTACCAGTGATTCTGTTTTTTCCACTAAAAATAGTGAACTCTTGTTATGGCATTTTAGGATGGGTCATTCTAATTTTCAGTATTTTCGACATTTTCTGCTCTTTGTTCCAATAAATTATCTCTTGATATTCAATGTGACGTGCGTGAACTTGTAAAATATCATCGTACTTCATTTTCAAAGTCTACATACAAACTCACTAAGCCGTTCACTATGATTCACGGTAATGTTTGGGGTCCTTCCCATATTCCTAGTTGAACACACACAAAATAAATTATCACATTCATAGATGACCATACACGACTTTGTTGGGTCTATTTGCTGAAAGATAAAACTGAAGTTTGTTCAGTTTTTATCAATTTTCACTCCATGTTCCAAACACAATTCAACACCAAAATAAAAATTTTATGTACCGACTATTGTACTGAATATCTCAATCAATGTTTAAGTCTCTATCTTCATGAACATGACATCATTCACCAAAATTCAAGTGTTGACACCCCTTAACAAAATGAGATTTTCAAACGAAAAATTAGACACATCCTTGATGTAGCTCGTACCCTAAAGTTCACTACCAACATGCTAAATTTTTTTAGGGCGATACTATCTTGATTGCAACCTATCTCATAAACAGAATGCCCAGTCGAATCCTTTCATTTGTCACCCAGTTTCAAAAATTTCAAGATGCCTTTTCTCACTCTCGACTTAGTTCCACTCTTCTCCTTAAAATCTTTAGCTGTATAGCATTCGTACACGTTCATACACACTAGCAAACTAAACTAAAACTTCGAGCAACAAAATATGTTTTTCTTGGATATTCACCTACTCAAAAAGGTTACAAGTGCTATGATCTCGTATCACATCGCACCTTTGTTAGTCTTGATTTAACATTCTTTGAAACCACTCATTTCTACCTGAAGTCCTCAATTTAGGGGGAGAATTTGAGTGAATCTCGGATCTTGAATCACTCAATTGGTAACTCTTTTTTCTTTGATTTTTCCCCAAACACTGATTCTATCACACCATCATCATCCTCCACTCCTTGCCGGTTACAGAAGGAAGTTTACACTCAGAGGAATGTGTAGAAAAACAGCAGAACAAAGAGGTACTGATTTACTCACAAAATCCAAAATCAAGGCCCAATGAGAATTTAATACCTGAGGTATCGATTGAGTCTGAACCTGTGACAGCTCCGTACAACCAATAGTCTTTTCCTAGGTCAAATAAGGTAATAGAACTTCTCTCTAATACTCCTAAACTTGATGATATTGACTTACCTATTGCACTCAGAAAACAAACTCGTTCATTTAATCTCCATCCCATTTTAAAATATGTATCCTACAATGCATTGCCCACAGAGTATCATGCTTTTACTTCTAACCTTGATAGTGTGAAAATTCCTAAGAATATCCAGGAGGCTTTGGAGATTCCAAAGTAAAGAGAAGCTGTGATGCAGGAAATAAAGGTATTGAAAAAAAAAATTAAACTTGGGAGGTGATGAATTTGCCACATGGGAATAGAATAGTCGGTTGTAAATGGGCGTTTACTGTGAAGTACAAAGATGATGGTACAGTAGAGAGGTACAAGACTTGTCTTGTTGCGAATTTACTCAAACCTATGACATTGACTACACAGAAACCTTTGCACCCATGGCTAAGTTGAACGCGGTCCGAGTTCTTTTGTCCTTGACCCCAACCTAGATAGGCCACTTCAGTAATTCGACATAAAGAATGCTTTCTTGAATGGCGAACTAGAATACTAGGTTTTCATGACACTACCTCCAAGTTTCTGTAAAAAGGGAGAAGAAAACAAAGCATGCAAGTTGAAGAAATCAAATAGTCTCCTAGAGCATGGTTTGATAGATTTTCAAAGGTGATAAAAAAGGAAGGTTATTGTCAGGGACAATCATATCACACTATGTTCTGCAGGCAGAAAAATGGGAAGAAGACGATTTTGATTGTATAGGTAGACGACATCATTCTAACTGGAGATAATATCGATAAGATGGAAAGATTGAAGAAGTTCTTACCCACTGAATTTGAAGTTAAGGATATGGGACAAATGTTGTACTTCTTAGGAATTGAGGTGGCTAGATCGAAGAAAGGGATCAGTGTTTCTCAGCGAAAATATGTCTTTGACCTCTTAACTGAAACGGGCATGCTCGGCTGTAAGTTGAGCGACACACCTATTGAAGTCGGAAGAACGAAAGATGCAGGAAAATCAGTTGAAAGGGAGAGGTATTAGAGGCTTATTGGTAAACTAATCTATCTATCACATACTAGACTTGATATCGCCTTTGCAGTAAGTGTGGTAAGCCAGCATATGCACTCGCCAAAAGAAGCTCACCTAGAAGCTGTGTACAAGGTACTAAGGTATCTCAAGGGGACTCCAGGTAAAGGTTTATATTTCAAGAGATGTCAAAGAAGGGAAGTGGAGATCTTTACAGATGCTGATTGGACAAGTTCAGTTGAGGATAGAAGGTCTAGTACTGGATATTGCACTTTTGTATGGGAAAACTTAGTCACTTGGAGAAGTAAGAAACATAATGTAGTAGCCAAAAGCAGTGCTCAGGCTGAGTTTAGAACTGTTGTACAAGGGATATGTGAATGATTGTGGTTAAAAAGACTTATAGAAAAACTACAGGCCACTATAAGATTATCGATCGAACTCTATTGTGGTAACAAAGCTACCATCAATATTTCTCTCAATCCCGTTCAACATGATCGAACTAAGCATGTAGAAGTAGATAGATATTTTATCAAAGAAAAGGTGGAAGACGAAGTTATTTGTATGTCCTACGTTCCTACAAAAGAACAAACTGCAGACATCTTCACTGAACGATTACCGAGGCACAATTTTGATGATTTCATGTGCAAGTTAGCTATGATCAACGTCTACGATCCAGCTTGAGGGGGAGTGTAGAAATCCTAGAAATTAATCATGATTGATATGTGATTGATTATGATTTATCCTCATTGATATATAATTAATCATGATTGATATATAATTTATTAAATCTTTCAATCGTTAGGCTAATTTCTTGTATCCTAAATTAGAATTTTTTTTATTTTTTATTTTTATTGTTGTACTATAAATAGGGTGTAATAGGTTTGTACAATTTAATCAAGAAATAAAGAAAATTCTTATTTCATTCTTCACTTTGTATCTGTGCCATGGTTCTTTATGTCCCTTTCTCCATTCTAACTTTCTAAGATTGGGTCTCCCAATTTTTTTTCCTGGCTAATAAATATTTTTCATCAATATGCTACTTCTGTTTGTTGTCTTAATTTATTTTATTTTAAAAGAATATTGTCTATATTACTTTGAGGATTGACTGGTAAAAGTCATTGCACATGCAACTAAGATTCTTCATTTTCTTACTTTAGTTTTGTTTTTCAGTATCTATGAGGATTGACTGTTAAAATTCATTGCACACAAAATGTTGGTATTACTTTTTCTTACTTTATCTGTGCTTAGCTACTTGTTCCATTTCTTTGTTTTTCAGTCAACTAGATAATAACAACTTTGCTGGGAGTGAAATACCTTCTTCGTATAGCAACATGCCTCTTCTGTTGAAAATGTAAGTGCATTAAATCTTCATTTCCGCTCTAAAATATTGTCTGTGGTTGCTATTCTAAGTTAAATTATGCATGATATATAGTCCAAAGTTGTAGCACTTTTATCTCTAAAACGTGAATATCTACTTCACTTGGAAGCTGTTTAATTTTTACCGGAAGCTTTGTTGTTTTAATCAAAGATGGACCCGTTCATTGGAACTAGGTAAACATACTACAATTTATTCGAGCTAGGGTTGGTGACAATTTGTTATTTTGTTGGCTGTTTCAGTAGTCTAAGAAACTGCAGTTTACAAGGGCCAATTCCTAACTGGAGCAATATGCCTTCTATTGCATATATGTAAGTCATTATGCACAAGTTTTACTAAATTGATTATAATCACTATAGACATAGCTTTATGGTGTCAAGTGCCAGCCTTTTATTGAATTGTGGGATTTCCTTATTTTAAGTGGCATGTACTTAGCTAAGGTGAATACTAAATGGTGCAGCAGAAGTACTTATCTGATTTCCCGATAATTTTCTGGTCATTGAGTTTTGAGTTAGTACACTTGTTAATTGGGGTTCTAATATTGATTGTGATCTTAATTCAGAGATATGAGCCTAAACCAGCTTAATGGATTGATACCAGCAGGTGACCTTTCTGAGAATATCACTACTATGTAAGCACTCAATTTCTGATTGTTTTGCTAATATTTGTGTATTACCTCAAAACCCCATATATAATTTTGCTTAAAAAGGGATTACATTTCCACATTTTGTAATGAATACTTTGAATTCAAATTATGCAGTGATTTATCCTACAACAATCTTAATGGAACTATCCCTGCCAGCTTCTCAAGGCTTCCTTATCTGCAGAAATTGTGAGCATTTTTTCAATTGTATGCTATGGAATGATTGTGTCTAAGTTTAAGTTCTCTTGTTTCCCAATTAACTTTCACTTGTCCACTTAGTGTCCAAGATTTAGCTCTCTCATTTCTTACCTTACAAAATGTTTGTTGAATTAAGTATATTTTATTCTGCATCATTCTGCAGGTCACTGGCAAACAATTCACTGAGTGGTTCTGTCCCATCCACCATTTGGCAAAATAGGACTCTTAATGAATCTGAGAGACTGTCCTTGTAAGATTGATATGGGAAAGAAAATCTTCTCTCCCCACTGCACGAGTTTTTGAGTCTATTATCAGACACTGGATCATGCTGAAACAAATTGAATACTAGTTTCATAATTTTTATTAGACTGAAAACTTTTTGGCCTAATAAGAACAGACTGAAAATTTTCCTATTTATCGATAAATTTGTGCCGTTATTTTTTATATTGCAGGGATTTTCAGAACAATATGTTTTCGAATATATCTGGCAGTCTTGCCCTCCCTCTGAATGTCACCATTAGGTTTGTCCCTTCTCATCACTTCCATCTGCAATGACATTTTCCATTCTAAAATAAACAATTTTCCAGATTAAAATAAAAATCCTGGTTGTATAATAGAGATAATTAAAAGTTGTCTCAGCAAGTGATATCTGGTGACATGATTTTCTCATTTGGCCTATGTTATTTATATGACAATTTCAGGCTTCACGGAAATCCCATATGCTTAAGCGGCAACTTTGTTCAATTCTGTGGATCCCAAGACGAAGGTTTCAGCGATATCTTGAACAAAACAGATGCCGGAGAGTGTATATCGTCATGTCCACCTTCTTACGAGTTAGCTCCACCATCTCCTGATTCACTTTGCTTTTGTGCTGTACCTCTGCTGGTAGGATATCGCTTGAAGAGTCCCGGGTTTTCAGATTTTCGCCCATATATTAATATATTCGAGAAGCACCTAAGTGATGGTATGGAATTGCATATTTATCAGCTCAAAATTGATTCGGCTGAATGGCAAGAGGGACCTCGACTGAGAATGTACCTGAAGATTTTTCCAGTGTATGTTAACCACACAACATTCAAATTTAATGAAAGCGAGGTCACACGAATTCGTAGCTTGTTTAGTGGATGGAATATTCCTTTTGAGGAGGTGTTTGGACCTGTTGAGCTTCTCAACTTCACACTTCTGTATCCTTACAGAGATGGTCTGTATCCTTTCTCATTTGCATGTTTACTTTTGAATTATATGAACGAAAGGTAGTCATTTAATCATGGTATTTGCCTTTCCTTCGTTGGAAGAAAGGGCTTACATCTTCTAAATTTAGGACTTCTAAAATATAATTTTCCAAAAGGAGCTTTTAAGGGAAGATCGTATCCTGCTAAGCTTGTGGAATTTAAAAAAAAAACTCTCTTTGTTGATGCTCATGGGCCAAAGAAAGAAAATTATGAGTGTATTTGGAGAACCTGTGGCATTTGCTGTTCATTTAGAAGTAAAACATTTGTGCTTGTTGCTTACACAAAGTGGTAATGACCTGTGGCATTTGCTGTTCATTTAGAAGTAAAACATGTGTGCGTGTTGCTTACACAAAGTGGTAATGACTCCCCTGCCACTGTAACTGGTTGAAAACCAGAAAATCATTCACTAATCAAGTTGTGTTCAAATTTTAACTGGTTAAAGCTTTGACCTATGATTTATTCAAATTTTAAGGGAACATTACTTTTGGGTTGAAAACAAGGTATTTGACTCGTATAACTATTACATATTCTTTGAAACATGATTATTATGCTTTTTTTCTATTTGGCCTTTACTTAAATATTGAGTTCCTGTATACATAGATATATGTACGACACCCGTATTCTTTTGTTCATATGTGGGTAGATCTTGTGTACTTTCTGGCTGCTCGTCATTGATATGGATCCCTTAACTAGGGGGCTTTTTAATCAACACAACTTAAGCTCATTTGGCAATAACCTATCTGTAGGCTAACATTGTTCTAAATAGTAATAGAAATCAAATTTACCTTTGCATAAACTCATTTTCGAGATGCTCTCAACTCTTGGATTTTTTGCAGAATTTTCCTCATCTTCATCTGGTATAAGCAAGGGGGCACTAGCTGGAATTGTACTCGGAGCAATAGCTGGATCAGTTACCTTATCAGCCTTTGTGGCACTTTTCATCTTGAAAATGCACATGAAGAAACTTCATACAGCTTCAAAACGACGTCCATGTGAGTATTTTACACTTCCTGAATTCGGAGGTATCAGTAAGTACATATATATATTCACCCTTGTGTCATGAATTCTGGAGTCTACTAAGATCTTGTTATTGACTCTTTGCAAAGTGTATTCGTGCCATTACGCATTGAGCAATTATAGGACTTCTGAAGTATTATTGTGGAACTGGCTTACAAAGAATCCACATCTTAGTTTAAATTACTGAATTTGATATTGAATTGATTGCCCATCCATAATTGATGGACTTTTACGATTTAAATGCCGTATAAGTTAAGGTTTTGTAAGTCAGATGAGCAGCATGTATTGTTTATCACTGGTTGATTGAGGACTATAATTTTCAGTAAATTATTACTGGAGTTTGGTGTAAACCTAAAAGTTGACAGCTTTGGAAATATATTCTCCATTTTTCTAAAGATTTGTCTTTCCTTCGGAGTCAGAAATCACCGTTAGAGTTTATGGGTTAACCACACAAAAGGACTACTTTAATAACTTTTATACTGTATTTATAGGAGTAATCAAGAACTATGGCTTGACATTTAGCTCTAAAAACACCGGTGACTGCAGAAGATTGCAATAAATAAAGTAAAAGAAACGTAAAAAAGGACCCAAAGTCTTGATGCAACGATGATAAAGATTTTAAGTAATATAGATCCTGCAAGATGTTGCAGTAATGATATTTGCCAATTTTCAATATTGAAGTGTTCCAAAATCTTACCAAGGGCATTTGTTTCAATATTTCTTAGAACTACCAAACCTATGGTGGCAAAATGCACACACTATAATGCATTAGATAGCCACATTCTTTAATTCTGGTCACCAGAAAAAGTTCTTTGATTCAGTGAGCTTGACAGTCTAAACTCCTGTAGAGTGAGAGGAAATTATTCTTATTGCTCATTTCGAGAATTTGCATTTCTTTTCAATTTCTTTCAATGTGTTGTACTATATGGTTAAGCATTCTGGCTTCAAATTCTTCACTGCTACATTACATGGCAGTAAAATGTAAATGTACACATGATTGTATACACGTGTACACACTCCACACACAAACCCAGATTTATATACACAAGTGTGCATGAATGCTCATACACATGTTTATATATACATGTTTGATGACCTAAAGAGGGAGAATCTTTATTCAACTGTTTGAATATCTAATTACATTGTATGCAGCATCAAGGATCTCCATCAGAATCGATGGTGTGAAAGATTTCACTTATGGTGAAATGGCACATGCAACAAATAATTTTGCTAACTCAAGTGTTGTCGGACAAGGAGGTTATGGAAAAGTTTACAAAGGTATTCTTGCTGATGGAACCGAAGTGGCCATAAAACGAGCTCAGGTGGGATCATTACAGGGTGAAAAGGAGTTTCTTACTGAAATAGAACTATTGTCGAGGTTACATCATAGAAACCTCGTGCACTTGTTGGGATATTGTGATGAAGGAGGTGAACAGGTACTGCAATAAGATATTTAGTTTATCTACAGTTGATCAAAGTAAACTTCATAACGTTAAATTGGAGTACGAGTGTACAGTTCAGTGATTCGATTTTTGATTTCTAGATAAGATCATTCACTTACAAATATGCCTCTTTGGGTTTGGGTTGGAGGTCTTGGCAGATTCTAGGCATCCCTTCTCTCTCTTTATAATTTTTAAGCTGTATCTTGATCCAACTTTATATAATATCAGCTTGGATAAATAACTTAGCTCAAGATGAATCTATTATAAGTTTGGATGCGTAATTACAGGATTAGGTGGTAGAGCACGTTTAGCTAAGCTTAAAAAGTTTACTTATAACTAACTAGGCTTTAAAATAACTTAGTTTTATTGGTTACAAGTTGGAATTAAGTAAATTATTATTTTTAAGCTTAGTCAACTGATTTTTTTTAAAAACCGTCGCAGTGCTGACACTAACAGAGAGAGAAAGATAGAGTAGCTGAAGAAAGAACCAGATAAAAATAAGGATTTATTGTAGGAAAATCATGTGATTAGGTCACAACACAAAGTATTGACATTTCATTTCAAAAGGCTACATTTTTAATAGTTTCTCTCCTACATCTTATGTTTACTGTGCTTTTCATTATTCAGATGTTGATCTATGAGTTCGTGTCTAATGGTACTTTGAGAGATCACCTATCTGGTAAAGTGTTCTTTCTCAAATTGACCTTCTGTGTTTATTTCTCAATTTCATGGTCTCTTAATCTGTGCTTTTGTGGCTTACGAGACCGCATGTAAGGAACATTGAACTTTCACTACTTCTCCAGACTAGATCACACACACTCACTCTCTAAATAACACGTAAATTGTGTAACGTGCGACTCGCAGTTTTTTTCTTGTTTTTGCCCTTGAGCCTACAAAATTATCGTACTGTAATTTAACCCAACTTTTCATTTTAGAATTACATTTTCATGTGTTCTAGCTTGTCCAAAAGTAGAAAAGTAACAGAAACATTTTGTTGCCTTAACAAGACTTCAATGTTTGGGATTTGCAGGGAAGTTTAAATTGCCTTTGAGTTTTGCTATGAGAGTAAGAATTGCACTGGGTTCAGCCAAAGGCATTCTTTACCTACATACAGAAGCAAATCCTCCAATATTTCATCGGGATGTCAAGTCAACCAACATATTACTGGACCCTAAGTTTGTCGCAAAGGTTGCTGATTTTGGACTATCACGGTTAGCTCCAGTTCCTGAGCTTGAAGGAGGCATGCCTTCTTATGTATCAACAGTTGTAAAGGGGACTCCGGTAATGTTATTTACAAGAGCAAGTTTGAATATTTATTCGATAATGCAGCATCCAATTATTATTCTCTTATTTTTGTTTTCCAATTTCAATATTGTGACAAACAAAACAAATTTACTTAGTCGTTAAAAAATGTGCATGCTTGATCATTGCAGGGATATCTTGATCCAGAGTATTTTTTAACTCACAAGTTGACGGACAAAAGTGATGTTTACAGCCTTGGTGTTTTCTTTCTCTAACTCTTGACAGGAATGCACCCAATTTCACATGGGAAAAACATTGTTCGGGAGGTAATTTAATATTGCAATCCATTTTTCTCTTAGGGTGCACTTGATTGCAAGCATGAAATTTGCATAGAAAGAAAATAAATTCTAGGCAATTTAATTTAATGTGTTTAATTGATTTAGTTTTCAATTTAGAAAATATTATACTTGTCCATTTTTTATTGGTGGGTAGATGAGAGAGGAAAAAAGATAGTGAATTATCTGGATAACAACACCCCCCACTCTCTAAAAAAAATCTTTCCCTTGTTTTTTAGGAAAATATGATCATATGACCAAAATTTGGCAAATATTTTTCAAGGAAAAAACATCCCAAAATTATCTGGATAACAAAAACCACCACTCTCTAAATAAAATATTTCCCATGTTTTTTAGGAAAATATGATCATATGACCAAAATTTGGCAAATATTTTTCATGGAAAAAACATCCCAAAAGTAGGAATTTGGGTGGAAAATTGACATTTTTCATAGAAAATAAAGCTAAACAAACGCACTCTTAGTTTAATAGAATAAAGAACATCACTTGCATGAATTTGTGAGTCTTGCTGGTTTATGATTGTTATATTCTTTTCTCATTGTTGTTCTCTTGAATGTTTTAAAACCCAGCTTGGGAACTTGGAAGAGGTAAAGAGTCAACGGACAAAGAGTTTAATAGCAATCGAATAGGATGTCGGAAGCAATTAATTAACGTTTTATGATAATGGCAATCGAATAAGATGTCAGGAGTTAATTTTCATCAATATGGAAAAAAAAAATTATGGTTTTATGATGTTGATGTTCATAACATAGCATGATTTATTAAAAGTTGGTCCTACGAATTTTTCCCTTTTTTCGAAAAAATAAATTTGCAACTAAATGGCTGTTTAACAGGCCAACCTGTGCCAGGGCGGTTCTTACAACACTCAATTCTCTTAAATATATTGAAGACATCTCATACAGTTCATACTTAATATTTGGTCTATCTGTGCAGGTCAACATTGCATATCGTTCGAGTGTGATCTTTTCTGTTATCGATGAAGAAATGGGATCTTATCCTTCTGAATGCGTGGAGAAGTTCATAGATCTGGCTCTTAAGTGCTGCCAAGACGAGACAGATTCCCGGCCTTCAATGGCAGAAGTGGTTAGAGAACTTGAGAACATATGGCTCATGACACCTGAGTCGGACACCAAGATATCCGAATCCAAAGTCACTGATCCCAGAAAGGATATCACTCCGCCATCTTCATCTACTTCACTAAAGCATCCATACGTTTCACAAGATATCTCAAGTAGTGATCTTGTGAGTGGAGTTATTCCCACTGTTACACCGAGGTGATGATACAAATACATTTCATATTTTCTGTCTATAAACTATTCCTTTTTCATTACTGATAAATCAACATAATTCTGGAGTCAGTATGATACATTTGTATCACGAGCTATTTACTGATTTTTAGTAATATCAATGCATACTCATGATAGCTTATATTTAAATCGTAGACTGTCTATAAACTATTCCTTTTTCATTACTGATAAATCAACATAATTCTGGAGTCAGGTTGTTACATTTGTATCACGAGCTATTTACTGATTTTTAGTAATATCAATGCATACTCATGATAGCTTTTATTTAAATCGTAGTTATTTTCCTGAAGGGCCAAGCCTAAGCCGTTCCATTTTACACTTCTAGCCATTCTCAACGAGTTGCACAAAACAACTAAATTCATCCTCCGTTCCCTTACAGAGAATAAGGGCCAGTTCTACAGTCTTTCACCATTTCCACTAAGAGGTCAATAACTTCACTCAGATATTAGTCCTTAAATTCACATAGATTCAGGCATTCAGCTACTTCGCAAACTCCATCTAGTGGCAGAAACCAGTGAAGATTTCTCTTTCTCAGACTTCACTGTGTTTTCACTCCTTACCGCGCTTTTTGACCTCCTTTGGTGTTTCCTCAGCATTTATCGAAACTTCTGCATTTCATCATCTTGATTTGTTCAATCATGTGCTCTAACTATGTAAACCTTAACATGTTGTGGGTTCAATCAGTTCAAATACTAAAGCATTTCCATCATCCATTTTATGATCCAGTGCAAGTGCTCTCCATCCACCACTAAGCCCAGTTCTCTTGCCAATGTAAATAGCCTCATATTCTGAGCTTTTCTCGGCCTCTAGTACCATATCTACTATGGTTTTGGGAAGATGATTCTCACAAAATTTAGTCGGGAGCCCCTATTTCTTGTATCAAAACGAGTATATAGTAACCATAAAAATTTTCCTTCCTTCCAAGTTATGCAACTATAAGGTGCAGTAACTTACCAACCAAAAGCAACTATAAACATGAGATCGAACCATTGATTTGACAAAAGATGGATTTTCAGAGTCTAGATAAGCTCGAGCTTTTCTAACTTCTTCCACCGTCCTTGCTTGATAGGCTGCCAATCCAAATTGTTAATCTTAACTTCAACTCTTCAAGACTAAATTATATATAACGATATTGTTGCTGATACCACCAATAAAATTTACGCCGTCCACGAAGAATTCAACTTTGTTTTCTTTCGCATTGGAAGATGCTCAACCTCAACTGCGATAATAACAATTTTCAACAAGAAAATTGAGATAAATATGTTTCTGTATGAACAAAAAATGTACAGAAATCCAAGAATTTTCAAAGATTTTCATTTACTTGCCAAATTGGATTCATTCAGAAGCAGAACAAATTGAAAACATCAAGACTTACAACATCACGGTACGATGTAACTGGATTTTGCGCACGAGTCGAGCATCTTGGCTTATAAATAGTAGCTGGTTTTGGTTAGATAGCTCAAATGTGGAAAGATTTTAAGGATAAACATCTATATACTTCAATTCTCGACATGAACAAGGCAAATATTACCTGGGACATGTCATTTTTTTTGAGATCAGATGGACTTTTAGATAGCTTCAAGATCCCCAAATCCTTTAGAAGAATTAAAAAGAAAGGTTAAATTCTAAACTAATGAATTTCTTGAAAGTCATTGCCATAAACAAAAAACTTGATCTACTACCTCCAATGTCTAATGTGATACAGTTATATGTCCTGTTTTTGATTTCAAGACTTTTTACATAATTTGAATTCATGACACTTGATTATTTTTTTATTAAGATAATTATGGTCTTCATTAGAAGTCAAAAAAGGCCATTTTAAGCAGTAAATGTTTGGAACACTTGCTGGGATTATAATTATTAGCTGGAAAGAAAAGAATGAATTTTGCCCGTTTGAGTTCCATTTTTTCTACAAATTCATTTTCATCTACACACATTCTCTCAATAAAATAATTTTATACTTAAAATCTTAACTTTTTTTTTATATTTTTTAATAACACATTTTTCGAAAAATCACTACTATAAAACTCATTTTTTTTCACAAAAAGGAGCTCAAATTTTGGAGTTGGGCTTCTACGAAATTTGAAAGGTTAGTGCAATTCCTACTTTTTAGGGTCCGACATCTGTCATTTTGAGTCTGAATCTTACACCACATTTTAATTATATTTAAAGTTATTAATTCTTACTCATTATAGCATTTATGTTTTTAACTATTTTTCATGTCATTCTTATCCTCAAATTTTTTGTTAGTGCAAAAAAATAACTTATTTTTTCATCATATTTTAAAAAAATAAATAAAAAGTACAAAAATATTTTTTTTTTCTTATTTCAAAGCATGAAAATAAATTATTTTGATATAAATCATTATCAAGGATGATAAGTACTATTTAATGACAAGTTGAAAATAAAAATTTGACGAAAACATTAAAAAAATAATTACTGTAATAAGTAAAGATTGAGGAGGTTAACTGCAATTAAAATATGGAGTATTAACAAAATCATAATTTTCAAAATTACGAATACCCCAATTTAATAATGTTTCTTTCATGGACTGGTTTGGTATAGGTTGAATCTTTGTTGGACTTATTTCATTTTTAAGTTTTAACAATGGTTGAACATTTTGTTTGACTGAAGCTCAAAATAAGAAAAAATAGTGTCACACAATGGCTCGCACCTTTTTTACATAAGCTCACCTCTGGCGACCAACGTAAAGCTGATCATCTCTTAATAGAAGAAGCCATCAAATACAATTATGTAGGAGGGCTCGGCCATCATGCATGCGCTAGCAACTATATATGCTTAAGCCCATGTTTGGTTCAACTAATAAACTGATTAAAATTTAAATCGAAGTCAACAATTAAATTTTAACCACAAATTTTATTAGACCCAAAACTTTTCAACCTCACATTCCATCATCTTTTACCAAAATCTTCCGACTTTTATCTAAATCAAGCAGGAGCTAAATCTGCGAGCTATGTTTCGTCATGAGGTCCACCATTGCGGCATCTTACTTATTCCCTATTATGCTATGATAGTCATATTCAGAACTCATGACAGAGATGTCACAGAAATGGGCCATGGCATCTGTAAATGAGGATTACAAAATCCACAATTTAAGAATTGAAATTGGCTGGTAAAGACTAAACATATGGAGTTCTTGGATCAATTGAGGAAAAATCGACTTCAATATCTGTGCTCCATCTTCTCCTCTTCCTGGTACCACTGCACATACCTGCAGACACGAACAGTGAGAGAGCAAATCTCAACAATATTATTCCTAAATTATCACCCACAACAGCATTCTAAATACAAAACAATGGCCTGGCCAATCCTCTAATGTCCAAAGTATAACTGAAATGCATTCAACTAGTTTATTATTTTATTAATAACTGTAAGAAAGAAAATGTTAGTACATTGAACAGTAAGTCGACACAAATTATTCAAATAAAAGCATCACGAGTCGAACCGAGAAATAGTAGGGAGAGAAAAATACTCGATCCACTCCACTCCACTCCACGCATCAGCATCTCATATTCAAATCAATTGGAAAAGATCATGAAGATGTTAGGATTTTGAAGATTATCCAACATTGTGGCAGCCACAGTATCTGATTCTACCGAATTGGAACTCTACAGGTGGAATTTCTATTCATTTCACCCATACCCGTGAGAGCAATAGATATCTAACCAATCAAATGATGTCTTTCTAATTTTTGGGTTACGCTACCATTTTTATTGTATGAATATATTGTTGAAAATGATTATGAAAATTAAAGGCAGATAAATGCTAAATATATTCACACCACAAGAACTGGGCACCTATGTGGCGCCCCCCTATTGGAGGGGGGGTCTGACTCCAATAGGGTGGCGCCCTGTTTTGGGCCGAGCCCAATAGCACAGCCCTTTTAGGTCCTCCCCCCTCCCCGCGGTTTTTATGGGAAAAATAATTTAATATTTTAATTAGTAATTTTTTAAAGAATGTGCGTTTAAAAAAATTTTGATTTTACGTGAAGAAAAAGTTATGATTTTACGTGAATAATATTTTATTTTGTGAATATATTGAAGAAAATGATTATGAGAATTAAAGAGTTTTGTTTTAAAATGAAACAAACAAAGACTAGATATATTCACACCGTAATTTTTAATAAGTAGACTAAATTTTAATTGTATGTAACGTTTACAACATTTACATACTATCACAATTATGTCAAACTTTTTTCATCGCATTCTTATTATCAAATTTACATAAATTATTCTTGATATGATTTCTCTGTAAAAAATTTCTTTAAAATAGAATAAAAAGATCCATTTGTCTATTATATTTTTGAATAAGCAAAATAATGAAAATCGTGATTAAAGACAAGATTTATGATCAATCAAATGTTAAAAATAAGAATGCGATGAAGAAAATAGTTAAGAATATAAAGGTTAAATGACATTTAGCCCTTATTTGATCTCAATTTTTTCTAAAATATATTTTTTCTCCCTCTTCTTTTAAGTCATATATTTTTCAATAGAATAATATTAAACGCACATTCAAAATTTTTCCTTATTTTTTAATTGCACATTTTTCATCAATCTACTGTCCTAAAATGTATTCTATACAAAAAATAAAAAATAAAAAAATGAGGCTCATAAAAAGATGTGGTGTGAATGTAACCACTCTAATTTTTATTCTTAGTTTACAGTTTTTGTCCTTTATCTTTTGGAAGAATTATAATTATTATGATATAATTGTCATTGTCATTGTCATTGTCAAGCTATAATGGTCCTAATTGGTTGTTTAATAGGGTTCGGAGCGACTTGAGTTAATTCTTGAGTTTTTTTTTGAACTCTAAAAATGTGGAAATCTTAATCTATGTTTGATTTACTTTATATAAATGTTCAAATAATTTTTTATTTATACATTTCGAGTGATATCTACTTATCCAACTTTCATTTATATTTATTTATAATTTAAATAACTTCTAAA